TTCACGCTCCTCGGCCCACCCTTCACGAACGCCTCCACCTGGGCATTAATGAGCACACTCTTCGGCGCATCATGAAGATTGAATTTCCCGATATGGCCGAGGGAAGGGAACTCGGTACCCCCCTCGCCCAACGACACAAAAACGAACTTACTCTTCCAACCATGGATGGACGTAGGAAGGTCAGTGAAAGTCATCTTGTTCTTCACCCGCTGAAGGTTGGCATAGCCGGCACAATTCTTGTGGCTGCCTCGGCCTATCTGGTACAGGTTCATGAAGAGCGCCGTCATCGGCGGGAAACCCAACTCATCGCAACGCAGCAGAAACCCGATGATCAATGAGTAAGAATTCGGGGTCAACACGGCCGTAGGAAGCTCCACCATATCCAGATACTCCGTAATGAATGGATGAAAGGGGAACCTCAACCCCTTATCGAAACTCATGGGGTATACCCCAAAATAACCCGACGGGGGATGAAGTACGTGGTCCGTCGGCTTGGGGGCCCTAACCCTACCAAAAGGCCCCACATACATCTGGGCAACCAAGTACTCTGCCGCACTGCTCTGTGGCCTGATGGTAAAGACGTTGGTGAGATCCAAGTAGGAGAAAGCCGGACCTCTCTTCGGCCGGTGCCTCCTCTTCGGCGGGGCAGTCCCCTTAATGGCATAAACCGGATTTGGGCACGGAATAGTGGCCAAGGTAGAAGCTCCATCCACAGCACGGGAAGCACCTAAGTCCTCACCCTCGGACGACGAAGCAGCCTCCTCACCTTGGGTTCCGTCGTCCTCCTGCTCCCCTCATTTGAAGGAGCTGAAATCCTAAATCTCCTCGCAACACTCCTCCACCACTTGGTAATCAAGGGACTTGGCATAGGTCTCATCGTCGTATGGGTAGTACTCTTCGTCCAAAGTTTTCATCCTAACAACTATTCAAAACCCTTAGGATGGTTGTTGGATATCTAAGCGAGATTTGCTAAGTAACACTAGATCAAAGCCTAAGGAAGCAAAGTATGCGGAAAATGGGAAGAAAGGTTGATGAACTAACCTTTGAAGCTTTGAAGGGGCTGAAGAACACTTGACAGAACTTTATCTCTCTAGAGAATCCGGCAGCACTTCGTTATCTCAGTATGCAAGTAAGGAACGCACCTCAGATGGGAGGGGTATTTGTAACTCCACCCATTAACGGTCACTACACGTGGCGCTCCCTCAGTGGTCACATAAACGGCCACCACCCCAAGGCCCAATGAGGTGCCACCGCTACAATAATGGGCCATGCCCACTTCGGGCACCATCAGCCCAATGTTAAACCCAATGGTTCAGCACAGCAAAATAAGCTACACCTACAACGGCCGGAACATTCAACGACTACGTTACCAGGTTACACCTACATCTGCATTTTAACGGCTCGCCCCATATCAGAACGCCACCTCGGCAGCAAAAGCTTCAAGGAGAGCCCATACCGGCCACACATCTCCCCAACAGCATGACCCATTCAACGGCCAAAAAATGACAGTGGAGCACAACCCAAGTAGCCATCGGCCCTCGTATAAAATCTACTGTTGATAATCTCTTGAAATCGACCTGCGTCCAAGGGTTCTCCCACAGGGTTACCTTGGTCAGGAATCGCCAAGGGGTTGGATTCAGGGGAAGTACAAGGATCCCGCTTCGGCCAGGGATTTTACTTTACTCTTTCAACCCTCACTCATCTTCGGCCTGAAGCAGTGGGGGACTGGGGGACTACATCAGCCTCAAAACGCAAACAAGGACAAAATTGAAAACCCAAAAACACACGTCCACAACTACAACAACACCATAACGTCCAGGACCTGGTGGTGCACCCTCGGCCGCAACAAAGTAAGCAAACAAAGACACACAATGTCCCCTGTTCCAATACCATCATCGCCCACGAAACCAAGAAAGGCCCAACGTCCTCTGGACAAGTGTCATTATCGTCCTCATAGCCATGGACGCCAAACTACGAATATCATCGCTTCGGCTTGGAATACAAAAAGCAACTATGGGGCCTCCTCGGCCAAAAACACAAAAGGCAACCAACGGCCAGAAAGAAGAAACATCACCCTCATCAGCTACTCAAATCAAGGACACATATGGGCCACTGAGCCAGGACACTCATCGTCCTCAAATAAACAAACGCACACCATCAGAGGAACATTAGCCTCCTTCGTCCACAGTGAAGGGCATACAATGGCCAAACACAAAGAACAACCAAAACAGAGAATAGAGAATGGTCCCGCATCGGCCAAAAACATCAAAACCACGAAATCTACTATCCCTCACTTCGTCTGCATCTCAGCTCAGAGAGTGGAGGACTCCTGATGGAGTATATGGGTCTAAACCCCAGGACCCACATACTCGAAAGAATGAGAGGCACAGGTATCACTCAGAGGGGCCTCCGTCGGCCAGAAAGATATCAACTCAGAACATGATCCAGAAGTCAGGAGAACCGGGTGTCTCCGTCGGCCGGGTCTCCATCAGCCATGCCTCCATCGGCTAGACCCTCGTCGGCCATGGAGAGCTCACAGAACACGATTTCATACTTAGCTATTTCTACATACTTTGTACTCGGCCCAGTAGTGGCCCCATTATAAGTGGGCCTCCCAAGCCCAAGACTTGGGAGCCCAGCCCACGTTTTCCCTGTAAACACCCCTCTTGGGGGTAGTTGTAGGGGGTTCACAAATCATTTATTGCAAGTATTTACTGCACTTGTCTCTCTAGCTCTCACTTCTCTCTAGATAATTACTCTATCATGTATATGTACACTAGTATCGGAACGCGCTTTGCGCGAGGGTTGATGCCCAATGGCGAACATTTAGCCAATATGAAGGGAGCAAAATTAATCAACCATATAATATTAACATAAACGAAATGAGAACACACAGGACAATAGTAGAAACAAAAAACATTTATAACATACATATTACAAACATAACTGCAATAAAACAGTTACAGTGGCAAGATACTATTTGTCTTTGATAAAACATCATTTTTATTTAGTAAATATTCATCACAATATCAATTCCGAACCTCCAAATTCACTCTTGTTCAAGTTTTCTTCATGTATACAAGTTAAATTCTAAATGGCATGACAAAACAAAGGTGCATTTGGATTTAATGCAATAATTTCTTCAAAAGGAAGGTAGCGGACTGGACATAATGGAAAGAAAAATAGGGATAGCTACTTTAATTAAGAGATTGGTTAGACAAAGTCTCAAACATCTCAATACTTACCTTCTCCAAGTTAATCTTTTCCTCCAACTAAAAACTCTCCCAAACTGATTGAAGAATTGAATGTGAAAACTAAAACCAAAGTAACACAAGAAATGAGAAAGGGTATATTTTTACCCATGGAAAAAAACACCATCAGCTACTATAGATAAGATGGAGATGAAAGAAAGATGTTCATGAGTGGTGACCAAAGAAGATACAACATAGCATTTGGGACATTCGTTCTCCTCTCTCCCATCGTCGTTTGCAACCCTAATGAATGGACCAACATTCTTTTTTAACCTATTATGTCCGCACTCAGATCATTTGGACCTATGCGCACACCATCTTCATACAGGCCCACGGATCACTAATTCGCTTCTGCAGGGCCCACCTGGACTTTTTTCTTCTTGCCCTCTTTTTTTAGTACGCTTAATCCTATCCTTCTCCATTTGTGTATCTCTTTGTAATTCTCAAATCAATTTAATAAATCAGGCAAATGTTTCCCGTCATTTGCCCTACCGTAAATGGTAGGTTTTCAGAACACAAAAAGAAAAGAAAAGAAAGATGTTCATGACCTAGACCAAATGGTGGATGGTGGCGGAGGCAACATCAATTTGAGGATTTCATTGTTAACTTGTTGTTAACTTGTTGTGCGAGTTCTGGTTGAGGTCCTAGAAATGTAGAGAGACGGGTGAGATATGAGATATCAGATGTTGAGCAGCAAAATTGACAATAATCAATAACCATCACTACCTGAATCTATGAAGCTGAAATTTGCTTCCCCGTGATTCGTGAAGCTTGATGAGCAATGCTCCTCTATTTTCCCCCACCATTAAATACCTCCTTTTTTCAATAGGTTAATTACATGTATGCAGTAAAGAAGCGTTATCTAAATATCTTTTCCTCCCTCTTTCTTGTCTATAATTCTTATCTAAACTATAGTGACACTATAGGTAAAAGAAAAAAGACATATTTGGTACATAATTTTTCAGTCTTGACTGCCTAACATCACTGCTCCCACATCTCGTGATAACCCTAAATGATTTCACAGCTGGAGTAACAAAAAAAATAAGAGAAACGTCTGGGAAGGGATATTTAGCTGAAATGGATGAGCTTGCTGAACTTCATATAAGTTAAAGCGTTCGTTAAAATTGATTTCAACCAAATAAATAAGTCAAATGGAAGCCCTGGCTTCAAATGCATCCAGGCTGGCCTTTTTGTCATTTCTTTGGCCTTAGTATTATGTGTGTTACCTTGTGACAAGCTCTATGAAAGAGAAAATGTTGGTCAACAAACAATAGGGCAACTCATGCAAATATACTGCTTTTAAAAACATTTTGTGAAAAAAAGTAATGACCAGTTTTTTCAGTAGATTATAATATAATGATATAGGGTATATGAGTTTAAATTTAGTATCTTCCCTTTTCTAAAGTGCAGTTGAAGTTACACAAAAAACGATAAAAAATAAACAGAAATATACAGAGAAAGATTCCCGTAAAAATTATCCATCACTTGCCAATAATATGTTAAAGTTAACTCAAATTGAGTAGTATTGAGCTCATTTGCATCTGCATAAAGAAATTGAATAAGAAAATATGTTAAGTTTATTGTTTTTGAAAAAAGAAGATCGAGGACATATAAAACCTCATAAACCCACAAAATAGAAGCAGAGGAAACAATCAAAGTAGGGCATCTGTAAATCAGAGTCATTTTGCAAAAAGTCATTAACATTGAAATTCTGATAATAAAATAGAAGTTCTGATAACAGTAAAGTAGGGCATTTGTAAAGTAGAGTTAACTTTATTGAAGTTCTGATAATAAAATAAAATCAAAATAGGGGGAATATAAAATGTTGAAAGCATCTAAATTTCTTTCATACATTATTATAATAATACCATGCATCAATCAATCTGTGATGATAATATGCTAATTGCCTAATTCGATTATGGTATAGTAATTAGCCATTATGTGCAAAAGGTCAACCCAAATAAAAAGCCAGCTCGTACCTCTCCCTTGCCAAGTTGAGCACAAGTGATTGGATCAACAACAACAGAACCAATAACAATTATATAAACTCTAATGTTTTCATCCTGTCCAATCGGCTTTCCATATTTAGCCACACCTGCAGAGGCGCAAGTCTCTTTTAGAGTATTGAGACTCAATAATGCCTGAGAAGATTTGAGGAAGGAGAAAAAACTAATTTTAAGACAAGGTTGTGGAGTTAACAGTATCTTCGTTCCTGTGCATATATACGAACAAGCCACGCAGATTGTAGTTTAGCATAGATGAAATCGTAATTTAACAAAGAACGGAATTAGATAAACCTACATGGTATAACATGGGGAAGATATTTACCGGAGTAGCTTCTTGCTGGTTTCAGCGGATGACTTTTTTTGTGAACCCTATAATTTAGACGGGGGAGAGGGGCACTATGAGAACACATCATCCGCAAATGTCGGGAGGGAGAAGTTAGTACAAGGAAAACGACATATCAATTTGGAGAATGAGGGAAACGAGGAAACCTACCTTTGATGTCGATTCTCGAGAGTACCACGACTGGAAGCAAAAAGCTGGAAAGAAGGGACGGACGAAGCTGAAACAAGAAGAGCGAATGGTCTTGGAAATTTGGATGATTAAAAAAGGAAATGAAACGAAGAATATCTTCCATCCCTCATTTCAAGTGTTGGGAGGGTTTCATGCATAATGGGAGGATACCATTATACACAAATGAGGGGTAAATCAAGCCGATTTTGTATACAGGGTGAAAGTGTTCATTTGTAAAAGAGATAGGTCCCATAATATCTCAATGTTGTCAGAATCAAATCTAAGTCCATTTCTATAGCACTTTATTGCTTCCCTGTATTCTTTGTCTATGATCGGTATAAAAGACCATCCATAAACATGCCATCAAACGTGGCATTTAAGGGCCTTCTGCAAACAGAGATGAGTTATGAAAATATAAGCATTCAGTCCCAACTAATTAAAAAAACAGCTAAAATGGTAATAGTTATAATATGTATTAATAATTTCAAAGACGGTATCTTAAAAAATTTGAGTTAAATCCCAGTGTTTAGGAAAGAGAGCTTACAGTCATAAGCAACCATATACATGTTTTTCTACTCATACCCTATCTTTGCCAAATTCTCAATAAGTACCTGCAGTTCCAAGTATACTACGTGTAGATTTGTTAAGAGTTAAACCACCTCCTCCTTTATAACCTACAGTTGTAGAAAGAATAATATAAACGAATAAAAAAGAACATGAAAGAGAGCCACTCACCTACAATAAGTATTTCATGTTCGTCCCTATTGGTTCTTCCATCATCAACAAAATCAAGATATTCGCCTTCACTAACGTGAAAAGCAACTTACCAAGTCATATAAATTAGGGGTAATACAGTAAATTTTACCACTAAAACATTGAAATAAGCCAAGCAATAACAGAGAAGTAACACCCAAAAATGTCAAACACATCCAAAAATCAATGCATAGATCAGATATGAAAAATGAACCTAATTTAAAACTAAACATGAGGCGAGAAAGAGAAATTTTCAACTAAAACCCTTAAAATGTTAACATGTGACAGAAAAAACACCTGATATAAATGACTTACTATGTATAAAAAAGGAGGATACTTTTCTAACACGGAGCATCACCTCTATATATTCCTCTTCAATCTCATCCCCTTTTTTAACTCCTGAGTAAACAGTTGGTTAGGTATGTTATAAACTCGGTTATTGGCTCTCGACTTGAGATTAGTTGATGGAGGGCAAGGCTGGTTCAATTAATATTATAAAAGGTTTTCAATTGAATAAAAGACAAAGTAGTGAGGTTGAATGTGACTTATTTCCGGGTTGCTCATCTCCAGGTACGACTAAAGTGTATCTGATGAAGATCAATTCAACAATTTCCTATATATACAATCTTTCAAGCAAATTGATTACCATCTTCCATCATATCCATAAAGATATAATATGTTGAGTTGGTCAATCTCTTCTCCAGACGATTGAGAAGATGTGGTTGTGGTTGTCCTCAGATAGAGTATAGAGTATCATCACTGGACAAGTTTTTTGCAAGTGTAGTATCAGTTTGGCACATTCAAAAGAAGGATCAGAAATAGATTTGGTTTCATCATTTCCTATTTATGTCTTGAGGCAGCCACCTATGGTTACCGCCTTTTTACAGGTAGCCACCAAGGGTCCGCCCAACAGACTAATCACAATCAGAAAGGGCTACCATAGCATGGTGATTTAAAGTGCAATTTGTATAGCCTAGAACAGCCCAAGCTTCTCTGGCAACATCAAAGAAAGTTGGGGCTTCTACAGCAACATAACATCATTAGGTATGACAGTAACCGGATGTTGGTTATCTATAACACAACCATCGTTAGAAAAAATGTGGGCAGCAAGAGCCTGGGCTTCAGTCGGGGCATCAGAAGCATCAACGTCAGTTGCAACAACTGTCTGGGCTGATATATCACAGGTATAAAACCAGAATAAGAGAGACAGGTGCATGGTCAAAACCAACACATTCAACATACTGGTTCTAAAACCATAATCAACGGAGACATGTTTTTCAACATTTACAGCATCGCAACCAGCACAATCAAAAGGGACATCAGTTGCATCAAACAAAGAGGGGGCATCAGGGGCATTAAAAGTAAGTCAATCACCAGCTTGGACAACGATCTCACTGGTTCTAAAACCAATTTTAAAAGGGGCATTGTTAAATCCAGCAAATTCATCATTAAATAATCTAAAGTCAGAATGAGCATTGACAGAATCTTTAGCATTTACAGAATCACAACCAGCACAAACACCTCCTTTAGCAGAGGGTGTACCCAAACATGATTGGCCAATTTTAGTTAAAAAAAAAAGAGCAAGGAACTGAAAACAAATTAACGAACCAAAACAAAAATACCTCACAAGCTGAAAAATCATAGAGGCATAGATTGCAAAGTTTTGAAGGACTGGAGCCATGTTGTTCGCTATTGTAGTTGCTATTACTTCTTCCAAAGGGTCACGTTGTCAAAAGCTCTGTAAATTGGGGGCCCTCATTCGGCTGTGGCATACTCAGCAGCACCGCTTGCACCCCGGGCCGGGATTGGTGGCGACAAACATACTCTTGAAATTGATAGAAGATGGGAGGAGAACTGCTTCACAACAAATGAAAGCGGAGGCTCGAAAAGAAACGAAATTGAAAGAAGAGAAAAAAAAAATAGAAAAAGAAATCTTAACTAAGAACATCATGAGAGGCGTTGATTACCTGGGAGACGTGATACTGGAGGAGTTGGTGGACAATGGGCGGCTTCAGTGGAAGAATTTTTTAGAACCCTAGATTCTGATAAAATGAAAGAGCGCAGATAGGAGATAGGAGGTGTATACTGAAGAGCGTGTAGTGATGAGAGGCGGAAAGGAGGCCAAGTCATCGTCAAACGGGGTAATACACGGAGGGCGAAGGTTGGGCACTGTAGCAACGGAAAAATGTTCAACTTAACTCCCTTACACGCTTTATATATAACCAGATTTAACGTTTTTATTAAAATCGCATGATTTACTTTAATTCTCTCCATGTTTTAAAGTGTTTGCATGAAATCTGATTTCACTTGGTTTAATTGCATCATTTCATGTGCATTAAATAAAAACTGCCGCATTTGATAGTTTCACTTAGTTATTGCATACCACACTTCTCAATTTAGGCGTCATATTATTATTATTATTTTTTCTTCTCAACTTTGCTCTAGCATAGTACATATTATTTTGTCTTATGTTTATATCATTTGATTGTAATCTCTTGTCACTGCCGTTTTATAAATTTTAGTAATTACGTACATTAATTGTGTATCTTTATATACTTTGTGTATATATTCATATGTCATAATTTTTTAAACCATCTGTTTTGTGTAAACAGAATGGGAGATGAATCAAACATTATTATTCCAAAACTATCCCGTTCAGTTCTTCTCATGGCCTAGGGAGAAACCTAGCAAATTCAACGGCCATGATTTCAAACGTTGGCAACAAAAAATGTTGTTTTATTTAACGACGTTGAATTTGGCTAAGTATCTCTCCGAAAGGCAACCTCTTCTAGAGGAAGGCGAGATTGATAAGGAAAAAGTAGTCGCGGTGGATGCTTGGAAGTATTCAGATTTCTTGTGTAGAAATTATCTCCTAAACAGACTAGATGACTCCTTATACTCCGTGTAGGCCGATATAAAGACGGCTAAAGAAGTGTGGGAATCACTTGAGAAAAAATACAAGACCGAGGATGTCGGCAAAAAGAAATTTATTGTCGTACATTTTTTGGACTTTAAAATGGTTGATCACAAATCGGTTGTTTCTCAAGTTGAAGAATTTCAAATTATTCTTCATAAAATTCACGCTGAGGGTATGTCCCTTAGCGAGTCCTTCCAAGTGGCTGTGGTAATTGAAAAATTACCTCCCAAATGGAAAGATTTTAAGAATTACTTGAAGCATAAGCGTAAGGAGCTCATTGTCCGTTAAGGATAGAGGAGGATAACCGCAAATCCGAGCATAAGGCTGGACGATCAAATTCCATGGAAGCTAAAGCGAACATGGTGGAAGCGGGATCCAAGAAGGGGAAGAAGAGAAAGCACAGTGACGAAGGAACAAGTGGTGGAAAGCCTTCGTCAATGAAGTTCAAAGGAAAGTGCTATAATTGTGGCAAACCTGGTCACCGTGCTAAGGATTGTCGTGCTCCTAAGAAAAGAAGACCGGACAAGTCAATATTGTGGACGACCTCTCCGATGACATGAGTGAAATGAACCTATGTGCTGTGATATCTCAATGCAATTTAGTGGGTAACACTAAAGAATGATGCATTGATACTGGAGCTACCCGACATATTTGTGCTAACAAATGGATGTTCACTGATTATCAACCTGTTGATAACGAGGAACAACTATTTATGGGTAACTCTTCTACATCTAAAGCGGAAGGTCGCGGCAAAGTTGTCCTCAAAATGACAAGTGGGAAAACTCTGACCTTGAACGATGTGCTACATGTCCCTGACATATGCAAGAATCTGGTTTTGGGCTCCCTCCTTAGCAAGAATGGCTTTAAGCTAGTCTTCGTGGCTGATAAATTTGTACTTCCAAAAATGATGTGTTTGTAGGGAAGGGCTATCTCAGTGATGGTCTCTTCAAAATGAATATACTTATCGTTGTACCCAAACTTGTTGATAATAATAAAGTGGCTTCTTCTTATTTGGTGTAGTCTTCTTCTATTTGGCATACTAGATTAGGACATGTTAATTATGATACTTTGCATCGACTTATGCATTTAGATTTATTGCCTAAGTGTCATATTGATCCTAATCATACGTGTGAAGTTTGTGTGGAAGCCAAAATGATTAGAAAACCCTTTCAAACTGTCACAAGAGACACGAAACCACTGGACCTCATACACACAGATCTATGTGATCTTAAGTATGAAGAAACTAGAGGTGGGAAAGGGTATTTCATCACC